TGTTTATATATCATTAATAAATCGTAAGACTGTTTATTAGTTTAAAAGGTAAAACTTTGTATTTGTAGGAATCATATCGAATGCGGAAAGTAGTATATTCTTCGGAAACTAGATCCATGCGGATACAATGAAATGTTTATCGAATATCTAATTTGGTATACACCTTTGCATTAGCGAGTCGTGTAAGTATCTTGTTAATAAAAGGTAGAGGGTATCTATCTTTGCATATTAAAGAATTGAATAGTCAAAAGTCTATATAGAATCTTAAACTTCTATTCGATTTTCTTATAAAGAGAATCAATATTGCAAATGGTGCTTGACTGGATTCTATAAATCTTTTAGCAAGGTTCTCTATAATGTATTCTTTAATAACCTTAAGCTGTTTGAACAATATCTTATATAAAAGATTATATTTGAAAGCTTTTTCACCTTCTCCTTTAAATATAATCTTGTAATTATATAATCAGGAGAGAGGTAGGATATCGAATTTGTATTTAGAAATATTTAATAATATTGCTAATAAACTTTAGGGATTAAAGGCTTTATCTTGATATCTGTAATGATGTGATTAAGAGTAGTAATAGTTTCTGATTTAGAATTATTTAAAATAGTAATTGTAATTGAGATTTGATAGTTATTATCTTAACTAGATTTGTAAATCGAAATAATATTATTAATCTCTATACATATGATTATAAAGATTTTATAATCCTTACTTCTCTTATAGATAAATTGAAATTGAATTAGCTTAAATATATAGATATCAAATATATCGGAAATACAAAACAGGAGGGATTCATAAATAAACTAAATAAAGATTTAATTAAGAATAGATTTCTTCTTTAGATTAACTAAAATCTAAACTTTGATTGTATTTGAGATTACTATATTAATCTCTTGGGAAAAAATAATAAGTATTTTAGGTACAATCAATATTATAATTGGTTATCTATTATCAAGTTGGTAGTACATCTCTTCTAATTAGGCATTCCGATTATCAGCATCTTTCTGTTTTAAATGATTGATTCTGGATTATTGAAGATTGTCTTTAATTAAAAGTATATTTTTTGATAAAGAAATAATAGGAGAATACTCGGAAAGTCATTCAAAATATTAATTAAAACAATCGACTTTAACTCGAGTCTTTGCTAACTATTTGCAATCTAGGATACATTATGTAAACCTAAATTGGTAATAAGAAATAACAAATAAAACTGTTGTTAAACATTAATTGTGAAATTAAGAAATATGAAATGAATAATAGTTTTATTTTGTACACCATTATAGCTTTTGATTTCAATTAGTGATTCGAATAATATAAAACGGAATTTGAATATAGGGAATAATAATGAAAGAAGTATCTTATTGATAAAAGCAAAGTTATTCGTTCCGGAATCTATAAGAGATTGAGTATTATATGAATATTCATTCTTTGAAAATATATATAATAAGTTTATAAAATCACTTTTTATTAGTTTTGTTAAATCAAGGAATCTTATGTCCCGAATTATATTTAGAAGGGAACTTCTATCTAAACATATTGATTTAAATATTGATCTTCAGCAATACAAACGGACTCAATAGCTTCCGCTTGCACTTCTTGATTTATATTCTTCTCGATATTCTCTTTTATATTATAAAACTCTTTATTTTCTTCAATCTCTTGGATCTCGGTTATAGTGTTTATATTATCTATATATAATATAAAACTGTAATTCATTCCCAATATGGAAATAATAATATTATAATTGAAATTGTTTCCTGGAAATGGAATATTGTTTGACTTGAAGGTTTCTATATAGCTAATAGGAGTGTAAGGAGAATATTGGGTGTGAAACTGAATAGATAAATTCGAATTACTTGATGAGCAAAGAATGTTTCTAGGGGTAGTTGATGAATTGATATTACTAGATGGCTTTCTAAAAGATATCTCTTTAGTTATTCTATAATGATTATATTCTTGAAGTATAACTTCGAGTTTATTGATCTTAATAAGCTTGGTAGTTAGGTTCTCAATAGTGTAATATTCATTGATATAGAGGTCAATAGCTTGTTAGAGGAAATCGGATATTTTTCTTTCAGATTATAGAGGAGAATTGTTGGATTGATGATTTTCTGTCTATATAATTAATAATCTAAATCTACAATATTATATTAGAAAGTTTTCTTATTAGATATTATTAGATATAACTCAGTGTTTATATTCAGTTGTATATAATCGGCTTCGATTAGATTCTTGTAAATAGCTACAAGCTAATTAATCAATTACTATCCTATCAAACAAGGGACTTGAATATACAGCAAGAACACATATCTTATACCTCTCCTTCCGTTAATCTATTATATAAGATCGCTATTATGCTTTCAAAATAAATGAATTTTCGTAAAGTTTGAGTTGCTCAATGACTAATAGCTATTAGAGGCTTGCTTTCGGCTCCACATTATCTTTGAGTTTGAATAAAAGATTGATGGGCTTTGGAATATATAGATATTTTATTGTAGTAATAAATAAATAAGAGTAGAGTATTCGATGAATTTGTGGATTGTTTGACAGGGCAATCAGGTTTGAAGAAGTCTGCTATTAATATTTAAAAGAATTATTACAAAGATTAACTTTATGAATAGAGGTTTTCTTATTCTTCCTTTTCCTAATAATAGAAGATACCTTTTCAATAAAATCGATTAGAATATCAGGAATCCGGACTCTGCGATTTGTAAGGGAATCTATATAATATTATTATCGATATCTTGGAGATTGAAATGGATAAACGGTATTAAGATTATATTATAGCAATTTGTCTTTGAATCTTGCGATTTCGTTTTGCAAATCCTCAAAGTCTTTAAAGATTGGTATTTATTCTTTTTGTAACGAAAGAGTATATATTGATATGCTACTCTTGAGAGTTAATACCTCAATCGAGGAGTTGTTTCCAGATTATTTATCCTTTCTATATTTATCAGTATTTATATTAAAATTATAAGGACTATAACTATTGCTCTATTGAAATTGATTATTATCGGCTGGCAATACTTAGCTAATAAGAGAGAAAGGAATAATAGAGTTTCTTTGAAGTAAATAGATTGGATATAATAATAATACTTGTAACTCTATATATTAAAGGTTTGTTATCTTTTATTAAATAGATTTACTCGGAATCAGCCCTCTTCCTATAAGTAATATTGAATAATCCTTGATATACCTAAGAAGGTATTATAGTTATAAGGTATTATTTAATCAGCCCATCAGATAGCCATACAATTATATAATGAGTTGTAGATATATAACACTTTATCTTAAAGAACTATAAGAATAGGTATAATTTATTTTTAGAATCTATAATTATAGAATCAGAAGCAAAGTGTTTGTAGAACGCTTCTATAATACTAGCTATGTATATATGATTGTGCACATACGCAAATGCGCATATAAGCGATCGCAGCTGTGATTGAGTGCGATCCGTGACACATTATATATAAAGATAAGGTTAATCTAATTAATATTAAAACCGATTTTCACAATAAAATATATATTATTGAAATTTTTATTGTACTTAATGAAGCAATCACTTTATCAACCACGAATTATGCTACTACAGGGTCATAGAGCATAGTTGATCGTAAGCGTAAGGAGTAATATGCTTCAAAAAAGAGAGTGCGCTCCAAATACTATCTTCAAGAGGTACCACGCATGGTAGGTATATCTCGAATTCACGAGGTTGTGTTACGCTGAAAATTGACTGTAGAATGAGAGATTTTTGATCTTCTGTGAGCATCATCCACCACTCTCGAGACCAATAAAAGAGTTGTACGTGAAGGATTTGCAGTCCTGGTAAACCTGCTAAAGCTTTCCAAGTATCTGTCCACTCTTTTAGAGTCTCATTTCGATGCTTGGGATCTTCGACGAAGGCTTTTGTGACCTCAGTGACATTCTCGAGATGCAACACACGTATGCAATATAGTAGCGCTGAGGGAGTAGAGTCTTTTGCAGATGTTGCGCGCAGAAATTTTGCGTACGAAAGACGTTGGTTGAATAAAGGATGTCGATAGTCTCGATATCTAGCAATGTTAGATAATAATACCCATTATATTTTCTTTTAGACTTACATCTGTCGGCAGGTCACAATCAAAGAAAGCGCTTAACTTTATCTGTACAACAGTATGGCCTTATCATTACGGTCACAATAGTTTGTGTAATTTCAAGGAAGTTCTGGACCTTCACGGAGGCACAATCGATGTGTGAAGCGACTATGACGCCCTCGACGGCCGAAACGAAAAAGATTGAGATGGAAAGTATTCCCTCCAATGCAGACTTCCCATATCAACATTCGAATTTCGATTGGCAATGATGATAAAAGTAAACTTTGGATTGAGCATTGTTTTGCGTCCTTGTCCAACTTCTCTCGTGGGAAAGGCAACGTAAGAACGCTGCTATTCGATCTAGTCTTAAGAGGGGGTCAGGGGGAGCTACCGGTGTGGGCTTTCTCCGAGGGCATCATAATTTTGATGCAAACATCGCCATGAAAGACAGGACAGCAGATGATTGTCAGGAAAGTATCACAAGATCTTTTCGATTTATCATTTTGCTTTTCTTGTTTGGTAAGAGCGTGTCGATGGATGTGTGGAAGTAAAATTTATCATGGGAGATTTGAAATTGATAGCGCTGATGTAGGAGTCTCGATACGACATTGCTAAACTTGGCATTTGCGGCACGGCAACGTTCGCCAAAGGGGTTGCTAGGATCAAAATACTCAATTCCCTGATTCTGCTTGCAGAAGTAAATGGAACCTTATCAGACCAACGTGAGGGATTATTGTGTGAAAACCACGGGGAATGATAATTCAGCAGCGCGTGTTATACACGTGACCAGCTCATGTCCGGTCACTTGCAATGGACAATCTGCACCCCACAAAACGTCATGGATCCACCTGTGGAAAAGTACATGTGTACATCGGAAGCGAGCGCAGATGGAGTTGACCATTTCTTAAAACTGTACCTTCAAAATGGTAAAAATCGTACTCGCTGGTGGCGCCGGCAGTAAGTTGTGGATAGTATGAAGGGTTTCAAAGTTAGGAGCTGATGCGTGAGCAGATGTTGGACGGGAAGTATTGGAGACACTTCTAGCGGAGGGCAAACATGAGATCAAAGTATTTTCCCGAAAAGTAAGCGCAAGCGAGTCCAGCAGGTCATTTTTGTTGCAGACTAATTGCTGATATTCAAAACAGGAAGTTCCAGACTTAGCTAGACAAGGAGTCATAGTAAATATTATAGATTATCTAGACAAAGCAGCACTTGTGCATGCACTCGAAGGAGTCGACACCGTTCTCTCATTTATCATTACATTCAACGATCCAAATAATCAATCTCAGACAAATCTCATTGATGCATGCATCGAAGCCGGCGTTCGTCGGTTCGCACCCAGTGAGTGGGCTACCAGAAGTCATTGCGGAATCCCCGAATATGAAGGAAAAGATCAAATATATGATTATCTCCGAGAAGTCAATAAAGAGAAAAGGGTACGTTGTTCCAGATTCCTCATCCGCAATGCTGATTTGGGAACAGGTTTGGAATTCACTTTATTTCAGTGTGGATTGTTCTTGAATTATTTTAGTTACCCACATCCCTCGACGAAATTCATGCAAATATTTCCAATGCCGATAGATGTTGAGAATTGTAGAGCTATCATTCATCGGGATACAAAGGCCAGAATCACTTTGACCTCCGTGCAAGATTTGGCAAGAATTGTCACTAAGGCAGTGGACTATGAAGGCGCATGGCCAGAAGTTAGCGGAGTTCGTGCCAATCAAATATCGGTCTTGGACTTCATTGGGCTTTGTGAAAAAATTAGAGGTTCGTCTAATTCAAACTATCCGTACGGACTTCACGTTAACGCTATCCTCTATAGGACAAAAGTTCGTCGTGGAATCTATTGAAAAGGGTGACTTGGAAGAGGGTAAATTTACATCTTCCTGGTTCCCTGTCATCGTACACTTTTCGGTTTCGGAAGATCAAAAAGATGCTTTCTCACAGAGTTATTTTTCAGCATTCATTTTAGCTCTTGAGCGTGGTGGCTGGGATGCTTCTAACGAGTGGAATGAGTTGTTGCCAGACTTTCGATTCACATCCGCTGAAGAGTTTCTGTCGAATATTTGGAAGCACGGGTCATGATTGGTTCATTGACTAGAGATTAGGTCTGATAGCGGGGCATCTGAATTCCTTCTAAATACCTGGGGCTTAGCACAATCAATCGATTGGCTTCTATCTTGTCAAGAAATCTAAAGACATTGAAAGCTGATCTCTGCCTGGGTTTCAACCATGAAATCGTTGCATCGTAATTTTGAACATTGGAGGTCCTATGCCTGTATTTTTCTTCTGAACATCGCAACGTTGAATCCTCGAATCAAATTTGTAAGCCCGATGCTCGACGCATAGATCCCTGCCTTGAATCGGACCACTGTTTATGAATTTGAAATGTACTCTAGATTACCGTAGAGAAGCTGGCAGGGTACCCGAGAACCATTGACCTGTTCTTCTGGACAATGTATATCTGCTGCCTAGTCGTACTACGACCCTGGAGCAAGATGCATACTATTTGTCAATATACGAGGTGACCGCGTACCACACGCTTTCCTTGACACAGGAGCATTGTATTATGATTAGTATTCGCTTGTGGTAAGATATCGAGAAGAGTTGATGCAGTCCACGGTATGCAGAAGATCCAAACACTTTTCGTTGGACGACCAACGATGTATTGTTTGATGTGAGTTGACCTACTGTAGCAGAAGTGGTCACTTCAGGTCTGTTAATATAATTTCTTAAAAATAGCCACAGTGCACCGCCACTTCAAACAAGGCTGCCCAGGTGATCAACAGATGCGGCCGCTAGTTTATGCAAGACTACTACGATAGGTATGGTTGGCTATAGCTCATCACAGCCTTGAGCTAATACTGTATCAAAACATCGAGATCGATGATAATTGCTTCATTTATATATTATTTAAGCCTCACATAATTGTTTAGGATTGCCAATTGATTCGAAATGAATACGAAGTCGGTTGTAAATATTATAGCCGGAAAGTTTGCGCGACAGACATCCTAATCACCGCTGATTACCTCTATCCGTGATATCGAATTCTCAAGTCATGGCTATCCTCGAAGAGTTCCTCGAATCTATCCTGAAATTTCTCAGGGCAAAAGATGGAACAAGCTTACAGTTATGGCTTAGAGTCGAGCCCCCTCTACCCGATCATTATTTCCAGCTTGGTCGAGAGTTGAAAGCGTCATTTCAGAACAGCACTACACTCGAACGCCATATAGCGAAACTCCTGCCAGACGACCCCAACGCAAGTTATGAGGATGGTAACGTTTGGCCGGGCTTTTTGGCTTTCATGAAGGACTACCTGGAGTTCTGGAGGGATGTCAATTTCGAAGACTTGTTGGAAACGCACTCGCAACTCACCGTTTTAGCAAGGTAAATGAGCTCTCTTATTTTCAGACATATACTAACGGATGCGAATAGTACTTGTCTAGCAGCTTTATCCAATCCGACATATGGGATTGTGATACTCCCGACAGCAATTCAATTATCTACTGCCCTCGCGAAACTTGCAATGACACTCGACAAGAGACCGGATCTTACCAGAAGATTGCGAAGAGTTGCCGATGTCGATGCTGGAGAGACGCGAAAGACTTTAGTAGAAGGAACCGCAGAAACAATACAGCGTGCTTTTACAGTTTGCTTGACGGAAAGGACTACGAACAGGAATGGGGTTGGTTCAGATGGAAAGCCAGAGGGAAAGAAAGTTGGAATATACTCATTCGCAAATCTGGCTTTGAAACTTTTCTTTCAAGTATGGTGGTGGCCTTCAATCGATCCATGGAATAATGCTGAATGGTCACGTAGTGCCGGAAAACGCGATTGGCGAATCAACTCATCACGAATATCACTCAACACTCTCCACCATTGGAGCTTTATCCCGCAAGTCAAAGGGTAACATATCTTTATTATCTTGGCCGATACTTCTTCTCGAATACCCACTTCTACCTCGCGCAGTGCAGTCTTCAAGCTGCTTACGACCAGTGTCATGCACAGTGCATCAACCAGCGACGCCTGATTCTAATTTACTTGATATCCTCAAACATGATACTCGGTCGATTTCCATCTCGGCCTTTTATGTCGCGTCCCGAAGCCGCTGGGGTCCTTGAAAGGTTTACACCAATTGTCAAGGCCATCAAATTGGGGAATCTGGCTGCTTTCAAGCGTTCATTGGGTCCGGAGGGCGGAAATCAAAAATGGCTGTTCGACAAGGGCATTCTTCTGCCACTAATGTATCGTTGCGAAACATATGTATGGCGTTCACTTGCACGGCGCGTTTTATGTTTGACATACCAGTGGCCGTTCGACCCCAATTCAAAGAAAGCGCCTACTCTAAATCTTGCCGATTTAGTCACAGCTGCGCAGTATTGCCAGAAAATCCTTGAAGGCTGGCAAAGGCCTGCAGATTCTGCCGCGTTTATGCAGTCGGGTCGCACACACACAAATACAATGTTTATAACAGCACAAGACTTGGTGAAGCCTCCGGTCGTGTTGAAACTTTCGCCAAATGATGGGGTAATTTGGGGAGGCAAAATGCCAGAGATGTTGGATGTCGAAGCAATTGTTGCGAGTTTAGTACAACAAGGACTATTGAGGGGGTTCATCAGTCATATACAGGGCAAGTTTGCGATTTTGGGTGCAAAGCAGAGGGGTGGACCATTGAATGCAGGGTTCCCACCAATTTGGGAAGTTATCAAAGATAGAGCTGAGAAAGATGGGCATGGTAATGATGTACCGGGCTGGGTTACTGGTGATAACGGTGGGTACACAAGTGGAGGAGTCGTTAATTTAACTGGAATTGCTCGACCCGCTGGGGCTACATGAGCAGGATCGAATTCGAGATACCCGAGAAGCCCGAATTGATTCCAGATTCATACCATCTGCAAATTCAGGTGCAATTCCTCGCCGTCTCACACCAACCGACATCGTCTATTGTGGCCTTATCTGTAAACTAGTCCAGGGTATCGGTAGGTGCTGATTCATCTTTACGGCATGTGCCAAGGGAGCCCGTTCAACACAACCAAACTTGTATTCACGCAGGCAAAAGCTTCAACGTCAAGCTCCTGGCTTATCAGTATCAACCTTATTGATTGTACGGATCTATGGCCAGCAAGCGGTTCGATGGAATGATATAACTCTGTTATATTTTAACCTCCTACGAATCGATGCTCGGGAAGACGAAGCATAACCGATCTTCATGAGTCAAACCCACTATTTTGTATGTTTCAGAACCTGATGCTAAGCATCTGAATGCTATTCTTGTATACTCCAATCTTTTCTTGTGATGTCATGTAGTATGAGGAAGTTCGCAAGGTCAAACGTCATTTGGCTCTATTGTTTTGCTATTGCAATGGAGAACGAAGTTGACAATCAGTGAGATGTTCGAGGATTCTTTCTTGATCCTCGAGCTAAATTGCACCATCTTTGAGGAAAATTGTTGCAACGTGTTTCTAGGATTTCAAGGTGTTAGGCTTGCATATCGTGAGGATACGCCAATAACACGTGATACACGATTTAATTTATTGGATTTCATCCATAGTCTTTAAAGATTACACCATTTTGAGGTGGAATGAAGAGTCCGTCGCTTCCAGCACTTCATTGCAGGTGTGAATAATGACTATAAACATTTTCAAATCCGTGCTCTGGGAAATTACAAGTATAGTTTTTACATCACACTTTTGTTAAGGAGTCGGTGAACGACGGTCGGCTTTCATTTTCTCGATGATATCATCCTAAGTTTATGATTCACTGCCATAGCAAGTCAGCACGAGCTCCACAGCCGGAAAAAGGTTTGTAAATGTGACATGAAGATTGACCCAGGCTTCATATTTTCCTTACGTCACAGTTCTCCCATCTTTGGAAATATAGTTTCCGCCTCCTTCTCCCAAGTCTACAAATAACTCTGTTTCACCTTCCCTTCGAGGATAAATTCAAACAATAAATCCATGGCCATGCACTCTCTAGATCCTACAGAACAACTTATAGCTGATGGGATGAATCCCGAATCCTCAAGCATAGCTATCATCTTATCCTCCATCATATTATCTTTTCTCCAAATCGTTTTCGTGATAGCCCGATCTCTTTCACGACTACTAACAAAGGTTCCGCCAATCTGGGGATTGGATGACCATCTTATTATTGTATCATTATTTCTCAATCTATCTTTGGCTGCATTGTGTTAGGTGCGTGGTATCATTGAAATCTCTTCCGACAATTCGATTCACTCACATACTCCACAGTTGCGGTATATCTCGCTGACATGGGTCATCATCTCCTCTGGATTCAACCCGCCAAACTAGTCATCGGACTTAAGGTTCTCTACGCCATCGACCTCATAAACATTCTCGCTCTTAGCATCCCCAAATTAGCCATTCTCTTTCTCTACAAACGACTATTCATCATATCCAAGCTGACAAACCATGCGATAAAAGGTGCAACATATGCAGTTTACTTCTTCATCATCGTTCTCGAAGCAATAGCAATTTTTCAGTGGCGTACCAATCTCCGACGCTTTCAAAACAGGGCCGAGGAATTCACATCGATGTATCGACAATACGGCTGTATTGACCTGGGCAACCGTACCCAGTATCATGACTGATATTGTGATATTTTTGATTCCAGTTCCGGTGGTTTGGAAACTCAATGTTCCGTGAGAGTTAAGATTGAGTTGGCGGTAGAATTTATCATCGGTGGATTATAAATCTCTTGAATCCTCCCTAAGAGACACAAAGACTATGATCTCAATGCGCAGTGGTATGGTAGTTGTGCAGTCCGCCTCTCGGTATTTTTGCGGATACAACACCTGCCAGATTTTACATATGTAGGAGGAGAATCACTACTCTGGCTACAGTTACAACCTGCTGCATACCTAATTTGCGCGTGTTTACTGCGCTGCCGACCGTTATTTGAAGCGATCATTGAGATGATTTCTTGCAGGTCGCCGAAAATGATGGAAACTCCAGCGAGCAGATCGGTTCCTATGACTTCAGTAAAGATTGCTATATCGAAGGGAGCTGCTGAAGAATGACGAGTGCTGATAACATTAAAATTACGAAGATGGTAAAGGTGTACTTGGGTTAAGCGAGCTAGGTGGGTCTGTGGGTGCTTAAGCGAGAGAGATATCCTGAAATGGAAGGGAGTTAAGTAAATGATGGGTTTGAATGAATTATGAGAAATAATCGGATTACCGTCGGCTTCATATCAGATTAGTGCTTAATTCCATGTTCTAGGAAAAGCACGGAAGATTAAGTCTGTATCTTCAATCAATTGTTCTATCTAGGCAATTCGATCAATAAGGTAATTTTGACTACTGAGTTTTGTGTGAGCTCTTAGTCTTCGCACGAGCAGATTGATTACAGCTTCATGAATTGTTTTGATGCGTCGGTTTGATAAAAATGTTGCCAATTTAGCAAGGAATTGAACGTCATTTCAATTTGCACGTTCATTTCTGTCCCTCAATTCGGATTGCCTTTGTTCACCAAGTGAATATAGTGACTTAACGAAATGGTCATACAATAATTTTCATCCCCCTCCTCCCATCCATATATGATAAAATTCAAAGAATAGAAGAGATTTTACTACTTCATTTTCACCATATTAGGTAATTGCATTTCTACGTAATTTGAAGGTGACAGTCAATTCGGGTTGCCATGACGCCAATCTCAACAGTGAAAAATACACGTGCAGGCGTCTATTCAAAAATTATAGCCCCATTGCTGAGACTATCAAAATCGATGTTATCTTGCAACAGAATATGCACGTCACTATGGCTTAGAACACAGGGTAAGCATATGCCTCTCGTAGCTAGAATTCTCAAAATGATCATTATTCAATACCATGGTAGCACTACCACGAAAATTCCAGGCCGCGCAACTCATATTGATCTCCATCTTCTGAAAAACATGAGTGATATTACTACGCCTAGTGAATATCTGCGCGTGCGATGATCGCCGCCCGCCGACGTAGACATGACATCCGAGAAGATATTGAAGCTTTCTGGAGGGCGGAAATTGTGGGTGGAAATCTTTCATAGATATCTACGAGACTATTTCTTCACTAGCAAGATTACTAATGCAGTACTCTTTGATCACTTTCAATAATAGTCAATGCAGAAAATATTACAATCTTTGACTCTCAAAAACGATAGAATTTCAAAGCTTGATTAGTCTCGTCTCTTACAGTGATAACCTCATATAGCAACATTTATACATTAATATTTCGATTGATATGAATGCTATGTGAGGTCTAACACATACTAATGTAAATCGTTTTATTTTTGAACGCTGCTATTCTACTACAGAAAAGACGCGAAGAATAGGTAGATTATTAGTATTAAGTTTAGTACGTATTCTATTGAAAGCTACGTACGATCGAGTTGACAATATCAATCAAGATGATTACCTAATACGCCTAATGCATTTAGCGTGCTTTCTACTACTAATATGAATACTAGTATTCCAATCTCAAAATCACAATTTCAGAAAAGTTTTAGATTTGAATTATAATACTTTTTTGAATTTTTGAACCTTTTGATTCACATGAGCTTCTGGAATAGCAATGTTCTAGTATGAATTCTTTTTTTTAGAAAAAATCATCGCCTGGAGACTTTGATTTTTTTAGATTTTTCAAAAATTTCTGTAGATTGAATTTTGAATCTTGCGTTTCTTCTATAAAATAAAGATTAGAATAATACGACTATATCACTCTTATTCTAATCATCGCTTTTTTCGACAAGCGTAGTAACTCTTATAGTAATCTTTTAAAAAGAATCTATACATTAGAGAGGAAAATATCTATAATATAAGTCTAAAGTCCATTGAAAGCTCAAATTTAATTGAAAGACTAATAAATTGCTTATAGATTGTGGTAAGTATTTTTCACCTTTCCTAATATATCGTTTTGAGGAATAAATATATTAATTATTCTCAGAGACTATATATTACGCTTAGTATGGATATCTATACGAACGCTTCTATACAGAAAAGTCAAATTGAATATTAGAAATAATACTTTAGATTGAACTAGCTGATTCAGATGACAAATAGTCGAGATATTGATATATAAAACATTTTTACAAAAGGTTCTTACTATAAGAAATATTCTCAACGTTACACGATGTAATGTTTCCTCCATTGTCATTCAACATCATCTCAGAACTTAGTTCGAGACTATGAAACCACCAGCAGAGAAAATTTCATTGAAGCTGTAGTCTAATCATCTTAAGTACAGATATTCAAAAGCTCTAAACTATCGATTAGTAAAGAATAAATAATCGAAAGAATGAAGACAATGACGTGTAAAATCAATCTATTAAGCAAGGTATTAATCTCAGACAATGTCAATCTTTGAAAGCTAAGAATATATCAATGATTGAACTAGATGAGTGTAAAAAGCTGGTCTCATCTCATTGTTTGGTATTTATTCATACAAAACCTTTGAAGTTAATGTCTACTTCCGAGACACTCTATAAGCACAAGAGTAGATACCACGTCCGAGAGCCTGAGTATTAGTTCTTGAATTTCAAAGATATCTCAAGTAAATCTTCAGTCGAATTTTTCTACTTTCAAGTAACATCTTGTTATTAGTCTAGTATCATCCTTTCATTGGCCTTCGAAAGTCTACATTTCTTAATGTTAAGTTCTAAAAAGTATAACAATATCCTAAAGACATAGAACTTTTGTACTCGAAGCTTTGATTGAAATAATGAAGAGGTAGTTGTTGTTCATACAGATCCTAATGATAGTACATCATACTCAAGTTGAATTAATCAAGGGGAATAGTAAAGTCACATGACAACAACATCTAAGCGAGATCCTATAGTTCTTTACATTCTAATGTCTAATAGTAGTACTTTCTTTTTAGAAAAACTATATTAATAGTAACGTCGAGTATTATTATTATCATAACTTTAACTTAATAAATAACATTTAGAAACTAAGGAATTTTCAACAATTAGTTTGTCTATATATATAAAAGATATTCTATCTATTAATCGTAAATTATACTAGAAAATAATATTTCTTATTTACTACTTAATGTTAGATAAAGTCTAGTATTAGTCTTACTATCAATATTTTATCAATCTGATATTAGATAGTTTGATCGCTTTTGGGCACTTGCGAAAACTCCATTAGATATATTTCCTTACTACATGAACTATTTATAAGTATACTACTAAGACAATGGCTAAATTGAGAGTATCTAATACGAATATCTATTATCATTTTGAGATAGAACAATGATAATTTGCGTTGTTTCTCAATCATTCGAAGGGATTACATTAAAGTCGAATGTGTTATTTGAGAACGTAGAAGCCTCTATCTAATTCCATTTTACATAAGGGATACAAAATTAGAAGACCCAACTAGAATGACCTAAAGAAATGCACCATTTGATTAGCCTATTCTTGGTAGAGCATTATCTAAAATGTAGTAGTAAAGCAAGTAAAATACTTATATGAGACTAATTGGCCTTACAGAAAAGGGGCAAGTAGCACTGAGAGATTATATGAACGTGCCGATGTTCTTTGTTTCCTCTCATCTTGCTTTCATTTCGCAATGGAAAGAACACCCAATAGTCAATGGTAGGCATTGATTTCATTGTAGATATATGATGATTTGAAGCTAATCTAAAGCTTTATCATGCGTAATATTTAGTCTGAAGGATTTTAGTAGCGCGATGTGTTGACGGAAAGGAGGTAGGAGGGTAGTGAGATCTTCTTCTCGACAGGGAGAAGAAGAAATAACACTGCTTCTATGGCTATCTTGTGTTGATTTTGTTGGTTTTGATGTCTAGCATCTTGAGTCTTCTGCGTCCCATGCTTAGCGATTAACACATCGGAGCTTTGTACCAAAGGACGCAATAGGAAGGGTTTCAGTCTTTCAAATGCCTCGAAGACAAAGACAGAGCTCTGGACCTTCTGCCGCGAGTCTACACAGTGATTTCGCGAGCTTGTTGAAGTTTGATAGACTGGATTGAGTAGTACCTAAACGCTGTGGATAAATATCGTAAGCATTAACAGGCAGATCAGGAGCATGCTTTATATGTAGTGATATTTCTGCGTGTGCCCGCGCGGCTGCAGTCTTAAATTGTCTTTCATTATAGTTTTGGCTTTATTTGCGAAAATGCCGGATCAACTCAAGATCTAAGTCCTTGGCAGTACATAAGGCTTCAAGGACCGAAGATGGTAGCTAATATGCAAAAGATTCGAGTGAAGACTGAGTTTTCAAGGACTGCGTGGGCAGGCAGGCATTTCTTTTCCAAGGGGCGTGAAGACCTTTGAATGTGGGTGTCGATATAGGAAGGACACTGAGAAATATTCTTGTACTGGCGCTGATCTGCCAAATCTCCTGAGACACTAGTATTCTTTCCTAATTGCCTTTCTCACCGTTTCCGTTGAAAGTTTGGTGTTGACTTTGCATGGATCGACGACTTCGTTCTTGTAGTTCAGTTGTCTGCCATAAAGCCTGCCTTGAAAACACAAAAACTAGCCTATGATCCTTTAGTCCAAGAGCGAGAGAATGGTAACAGAGTATTGTGATACATCACACATGTTTGAAGCTACTGGGGCGAGGTGGTAGAGAGTTGATGTTGCGGTCGTATCGTTTCACGGTCATTGCGTACACACATTGCAGAATCAATCATTGTTAAACCAGTGTGATTGAGGTCCTCTATCCACATTAAAAGCAGCTCTTCGGGCAAAGACACTCCAGAAACCCCCAGTGCTAAGTAGCGATGACCAAAGAAAATACAATGAAGCCGCAGGGAGAAAAAAGGCTCTATAATGAAGAATTATTGTGCACACAGTATGATGTATCCCACCAGCTTGATTCAGCTCCTTTGTAGCATATCTTCCCTCTTAAGTTGGTTCTCAATCTCTCATTCCTCGCCTTTCCATCACTCCCCGCTCAGACAACCGCAAATCAACATTGCAACGGTAATCGGTTGTTGAATTCGTAGGAAGATTGTTGGCTATGGAATTCATCGGGGATGTGATTGGCTTTAGAAGCAGCAGTATTGACAGGCGGAGGAGAAGGATGTCGAAGGGTATTAAGAAGTCGTATTGGGTTGGGAAAGGAGATGATCGTGAGCGGGTACTTCTATTTTTTATAGAGGTTAGATGGCTTTGCTGCTTGAAGAAAATGAATAGATTATATACTCTTACCTTGTGAGCGACGATTTATTCCTTCTTTAACCTTTGCATTCTTTGCCTCCTCGCCCTCATTTTTGCCAAAAAGCGGCGTTTATGTGCCCGCCTACGCGCCTCATATTCCAATCTTTTCATCTCCTTCAGCATACGCGCCTCATCTTCCACTCTGTTCTGGTATTCAAAGTACTCCTTTGCTATGATCACAATTCAATTAGTCTCAATAATAATTGCACTGATCAAACACATTGCGGAAGAGGACGACGCAGTATTTGAGGGGCCAATGAAAGGTTAACCAACCTTCAGGAGAGGGCCAGGCCATGGTTTTGTTTGCTTGTTCTAGCGAGAGCATTAATCGAGCCACCTCAGCTTTGTTCATCTTTACTTTTGATGTTTGGAATAAAAGCAAGTAATATGATGGATAAAGTAAACGGCAAAAGGTTGCAGAAATTGATCTAAGGACCTGGAGTGCAACTAGTTAATTAAAGGATTGAAGGAAGAATTTACCTTTGAATTGACATGTGGGGCTGTGCACTAGATCTAACCATTTTGGTTTCTATGGTCTCCTATAGTGAACATTCTTTTTTTTTATTGGCTCCCTTTTTCAACTATTGAGGTTTACCGAATCTTAGCGACAGGCCACCCGGATTTCTAACTCTTCTGTACAAGCACTATTCGAAGACACCCAACATTTTTTGAGTAGATAATTGTTCAAATCCAATGATTTACTACTTCTAATTTTGATAAAAATATCTAATTTGTAACTAATTGACAAACATAAGTTTTAGATTTAGGCTGAATGCTCTTATTTTGGTGATTGTCACATTGGTCACTTTCTCTTCGTTAACTTTCCTAGCGTCACTGCTTTGAGGTATTCTAAATAAAGATATAGGTGCGTGCTAGTATAGTCTGAGATCACCATGGATAAACAGACGGAGCAGAATAAACAACTTTGAAATGATGAAAGTTGCTACATGTCACGGCAGGGTGAGGTTAAGCTTCAATTCTGTCACGTGTCACGATGTAAATCACGTAGAGAAGTCTAAGAACTGAAGATCGTATTGATATACAATAGGCTATGAAAAGACTGCAGAAAGAATCATGCATGTACTAATCAAGAGACGGCGCTTTGTATGAAACACTGCACCAATAATCTCCCTTGGATTGTACAAAACTGATGCCATCAACATATTTCAGAGTTACTACCTTTGAATGTGAACAAAAAAGACTTTCATTAATGAGATTAATGTGGTTACTGGATAAATCGAAATCCTTCTTTGCCCAAAGATATAATTGTCTAAATTATTTGACCAAAGAAGCCACGAGAGTATCCGAAATTAGCATTGAATATTTTTGTTCTACATTACCATGAATGTGATCATTTGCCTTGTTCTTTCTATATGAGCCATTATCGTACAATCTCGAATATTCACTTTCTTACTTGCGATCCTGTTCTACCCTTGACAAGTGGGCTTTCTACCCCGTGCATTCGAGCTTTATTCTTTGTTATCCTGACTTGAGACAAGCATCGAGGGTTCTCGCTATTTACATTCTTTATTTATTTTCGAAGATCCGACTTCTGCTGGACAATACTATAGTTGCTAGAATATTCTTCCATTGTTACCCGCACAGTTCCAACTCTACATAAATCGACATGTTCCTACCTCCTAGCAATCATCAAGAATTCTCTCCATTCATCTGCGAATTAAAACAATCACAATTTCCAGATATTCGAGTCAATCAAACAGTCATGAATGACCTCCGCCACCCTCCAGATGAAGTTCCCGAATCTCTCTACATCGTCCACGATCCCTCCAATGACCAGGTCCCAGAAGGAAAGTCTTCCAAATCGCAGGAGTCTCTCACTCCATGGGAGATAGGTTTTCGCCCTTACGATATTCTGAGTCTCAGCCGCAAGACTGCGAGCAGCTTTCTCCCTCTTCATTATGGTGCCGCGAACGGACCTAGGAGAAATCCTCCCAGTGTTTATGTCACAGCGACTGATGATATCGAGGCTGCGGAAAACGAGGTCATTACAAGCGAGGATGATTTAGTGATGTACAGATTAGATGGCAGATGTGAGGAAATGAGAAAGTGTGCCATTTTCAAAGCGTCAGACTGGTTGCGCGCTCTGGAAATGTGGGATGGAGACGAGAATGAAGACGAAGATGAGAAATCTGCTAGACAGAAAAGAGTGGGCTCTGAATGGTTGATTTGGCCAAGTGTACCAAAGAGGCTGTTAAACATATGTCGACAAGAGAAGACATCCTCGAGGATGATGGTAAGTTCTCCCCCTTGTCCTTATCTCTTGGGAGTTCATAAATACTGACTTAGTGATTAGAAGAAGAGGAAGATCGTGCGATTCAGAAACATGCGCCTGGTCAAAAACATCAAAACGCTACTGCAAGCTCGAGCAAGAATCCAAATGCAGCTGTCAAAAAGGGTAAAGCGAAAACCCCATCGGCTTTGCATAGTCACAAGGGACTGGTGCGCAAAGATGTAAAGGCAGATGGCACACCTCGGTACATGGTTGCGTTCTCCGAAAATAACGAGTTTTCATTTTCGACCATCTACATCATTGAGGAACAAGAGACTGGTCCACAGTGTCTTGTTCATTGGGGCCCCGGAATAGAACCCAGCTGGGCCGCCATCCAAAATGTTGATGCGAGGGCTGTGAAGGACTACTGGCGACGCAACACCAACGGCCGAGGAAAAGCAAAACCAAAGAAGAAATATGAAATTCTATTTGAAGATCAGCAAAACAAGGAGACTAAGTTGGACAGCAAGTTCTTGGTCAAGTGGGCTGATTCCGATATCTTGGCCTGGGAAACTTATGACAGTAGTCCTGGTGTTACAAGACATGCTGTCAATGAGTTTCGAGCGAAGAGGGACACATGGCAGAGATATCAATACAAGTGAGGGGTATTAATGAGGGAGTTATGGCAGAGAATCGCAGAATTCCGAGAGTCGTTTCATTGATAGGTGGTTCCGAGATTCCAATGTGTTCCGGCATTTTTGGTGGATGCAATTTGGGAGTTAGATAAGAAAAAACTCTGAATGTATTTCATCCACTAAATCTTCTGATACCCAAAATTTCAGGCTGATCTTAAAACTCACGATCCATCCATTTACCTTGACGATATGCATGTCTAGCTAATCTTCACCACGCTTATAATGTTAGCACCGTAGTGCTTGATAGCCCAATTTTAGTTGGTCTAAATTTTAGAATAGATCGCGAACATGAAGGAAGCGCTTATTCTTTGCCATTTCGTAACCGAATCAGAACGGGATGATTCAGGTAATATCTCATACTTTACAAATAAGGTCTCATAATTAAACACGGTCCGTGAAAATACAGGGCTTGAGGCTAGTATTGAAGTGACATTCATCTCCAGGTAATAACATCTGAAATAGTGGTAGACACCAAAACTATCTCCACATGAGAGAACTGAGTATCGGTTAGTCTCAATTATTTCGAGCATGATGGTTAATCACTGAAGAGTAACGAGAGGCGGAACAAATTTCTATCAAAATCTTTATTCTAAATTTAAAGCTTTCTACCGGATACTGATCTAGTAAACTATGATTCTTCATTGACAACCAACACCGCTATGGATGACTTTTAGTTTTACACCGGGATTCCACCTTCTCTCTAAATCTAGCGCCTTTATTAGACTTCCACCAAGCTGATTCTATGCTAATATCCAAGGCTCAAGAGATGTGCAAAATTAATCGCGTTCAAGAGACATATTTTGTGAACTTCCGGTTAGGCTGTAAAATGGGGCCCCATGGGTCGGGTTTTCAATCTCACATCCCACCCATCGGGACCCTATGGGTTGGGTGGGTAATAGTATAAATAGACGTCCCACCCATAGATTACCCAATGAATTACCAAGACTCCAATAGGTTATCAAAAACCCAATGGGTAATCCAAAATACTATGGGTAACCCAAGACCTAATGGATAACCCAAAATACTATGGGTAACCCAAAGCCTAGGATCTATTAAGCATCAATATGATATATATAAAGAATTCTACTAATATTTCTACTAATTACCTTCTTCACATTATATTTCGATTATATTTCTATTATAGAGTTGGAAAAGTGTTTTATTGTATTCATAGTATTCAGTAATTCTTTTAAAAGAAAATACATTTATGAATTTGTAGAAGCATTGAGATAATCAAGTTAATCTATATGTATATAATAATTACTAGCATATAAATATCCTAAAATACCATTATGTATAGCCTAAACCAGAAGTATATCCTTTTGTTGAATTGTAATTTGTTTTGTATAAATTGCTATAAAATTTATTACTGAAATTAAACAATTAATATAAAACTTAATAGATATTAAGAAATTAGATTAAACTTATATTCAAACTTTTTAATTAAATATGCTTTAACAATTTCTTGTAAAGCTAATAATATAGTTAATTGCTAGCGAGTAACTCTTAAAGTCAAATTCTGAATAATCTCTTGAATAAGATATTGAAAAGGAAGCTTTCGGATTAATAACTCGATGCTTTTTTGATATCTTCTGATTTTATATAATGCAATCGCTAGAAATTGAGCTTAGTATATTATTCTACTAATATTTCTATTAATCAACTTACTACCTAGCTTGAAGTGATATACTTTTTTAAAAACTTTTTTAGAAATAGGTTTCTTTTATATATTTTTTATTACTTTATTTGGAAATGATCAACAACTTTGAGTGTTTGGTATCCTATTGAAATTAGTAGATAAATTAATAGAATAAAATCAATTAATATACTTGATAACATCTTCTAAATAATATATTATTGTTATAGTAATAAAGAAATAAAGTTGAAAAGAGATCATTTATATTATATAATATTTTGTGTGGATATCTTAGAATTTAGATTATTATCTTGAAAATAAAAAAACAAAAACTTCGAAATTCACTATTATACTACTATTTTCCAATTCTTATCTTTCTTTAATTTTTCTATTATTCTAATAAATAATATTCTTTGATTTTTTATTACAAAATCCTTTTTTACAATCAAATACCTTTCATTTTTCTAATCTTTTTATTAATCCAAAATCTTTATAATATCTAGAAAGCGAAAAGCATCAGAGGATTTATTGTAAAATCCTAATATAATCAAAATGTATAAGAGAAATAAAACTTTAGAAAATAATCCTATTCATAAAAAAATTGAAAAAGCCAAAGCAAGAGATTAGAATATTGTTATTTATATAAAAAAGAAATTAAAGACAATATAAGAATATATTAATATTTTCAATAATACTCAGCACCAAATATTGATTAATTGTAATATAGAAATTCAGTACAAATAATATATATATATCTTTATTCAATTAATTTTTCTATTAATCCAATTAATAGAGTAATGAAAGGTAATAATTAGAAAAGTATTGCTATATTTCTAGACTGGGAAGATTATAATAAGCAATTTGCTATTATAAATAACAATAATAGTATATAAAAGAATATTGAATATGAGAAAGAGTATAATAGGGTATATAAAAATTTTATGAAAAAATAATAAAGTTTTCAATCAAGAATATAATCGAAAAGAAAAGGATAATAAGAAATTTGAAGAAAAAAAAGCACTTTTGATTTATAATACCTATAATCCTTTAGAGATAAATAATATTATATAATTAATAAAAAGATTAATAGAAACTAATTTTTATTAAAAATATAAGTATTTGCTATTTCAATGCTAATAAAAAACTTAAAGAAATGCTAAAAAGATATTGTTCAAAAAATCTAGGAAATCGGAGGATATTATAAAGGCTTTTTTTATCTTTAGTTAACAAGAAATCCAAATAGGATTAAGGTAAGAATTTTTCTCTGTATTAATCTTTATATAAATTGATTAATTTGATTAGATACTCTTCTTTTTATTATCAATTATAGAAGAAATAAGGCAAGTTAATAAAGAATATATACAAATTTCAATTGTAAATTTATATTCTCATTTTTAAATCTTATTTCAAAATCTAATTAATTTAGCTTATCCAATAAACTTTATAATTTGAGAAAGGAATATAAGAAAGCTGTAGAGTATAATATACTATTTCTATTAATCTTTTTATTAATCTTTTGATTAATTTATTAATCCTTATTAGAAAAACTTTAATATGGAAATCACCTATAATTTTCTTTACAAGTCCTGAGAAAACATTTTGGAGAATATGTATAGCTTATCTTATAAATAATTCTGAAATAAATAATTGGATTGATCTTTCTAATTTTGTATTTTGGTGGTTAGAGTTTATTAAAGAGATTGATAATATAGGATTTTTCATTTCAAAGAATAATCAAAAGTAATATATTGATATAAGGAAATTAGTTTATAGTAAAAAAATCGATCAGGAATTATAGAATCTTTAGTAATTGATTTTACCTGCAAATACAAATTTGCAAGTGTTATTTAATATTCAAGCTAATCAAAAGCTTATTAAGAGTTTTTATAATTAAAACTAATATTTTAATATAGAATAATCAAATTAAAGTTCTATTATATACTTTCTATTAAATTTTCTATTAATTTTTTATTTGACATTTTTATTCTTTGTGAGAATAGATTTTATTTTTCAAAATCTATTAGATATTAAAATCTATTTGGATAACTTTGTTATATCTTCCAGTTATTTTTCAAATACTCCTAATTCTGAGCTATTCGATTCTTTTTGTTCTTTGCCTCCTTATAAATTATCTTTTGAATTATATAAAAAAAATAGAAGGTTTTTTAAATGGATATAAAAAGTTCATTAGGATTTTATTAAATAATGGAAAACTATTTAATGGTTTAATGATCAGACCAATGATTCAACTAATTTAATAAAGAAGATTCATTGAGATTCAACTATTCGTAAATCGATATATTGAACTAAATACAATCAGGCTGTGAATAAGGGAATCGGAGAGCCAGTTTTAATATGTTGTCAATGTAATGGAGAACTGAATTACTCTGGGATTAAGAATATTGGTATCAATGTATTATCTAAACATTTTCAAAGTGATGTATGTTGAAAAGCAGTTTTTCGAAATAAATATCAAAGAGAATTAAATAAATATTCTATTATAAGAGTAGGTAGTAAACAATTAATAAAAATATTAATAAAAAGCTAATTCTTTTTCAGATAGGTTTATCAAAACAATTTATAGAAGAAGTATTTCATAATCAACTTTTATGAATAATTATTTCTTTATGAGTATCTTTTCGAGCTATTGAGAATAAAGAATAACAATAGTTTACTTAAATACAAAATCCTGAATTCCCTTTTCCTTTTGTATATATACTTCGAAAACAATTAACAATTCAAATCGAAAATCTTGAAAAGAATATATTACTTTCGAGAATGGTGAAAGGAAGTAAGGTTGCTCTATCCTTAAATGCTTGGTTTAATATAAACAGATTATCTTTTCTTGAAATTTTAGTTCATTATATCTCCAAAGATTGGGAATTAATTGAAAAGCTCATTGGATTCGAAGCTTAATAGATATTTATTCAGGACAAGCTTTAGCTAAAATTGTAAAAGATGTTACCAATAAATTCGATATTACTAATCAGATTATTTCGATTACTATTAATAATATATCTAATAATTCTAAGATAATAGAAGAAATCAATTAATACTTTGAGAAGGTATTTAATAGAAATCGATTTCTGAATAAATACATTTAGTATATATTTTATTTAGTATATTATCACGGAGGTAATAGCTATGTCTAATGGTCACTTTGATCAGGAGATAGGTACATAGAGTGATAATAAACTAGATTGACTTGAGGTGTGATCATAAGGATCATACCTGCTTTATATACCCTGATCAGGCGATGGAGTCGCCTAATTAGGTATATAGGGTACACAAATGAACTGAGTGAAATAGTTTTAGTAATCATGGGAATGAG